TTCACTTCACTTCCGCACTGCAAAGTACAAGTCTGCGCGAGCGATGTCGAGGGACAGGCACACTTGGCCCGGCATGTGTTGCGATAACGCATCCCTGGGAACTCAAAGAGGCACAGGAAGCCTCCGGTCTGCAGACTTAAAGTTTAGGCTCGACAGTATACGAACACGTAGGCATCAGCACACATGCTATCAATCTCAACAGTATTGCAAAATCGAGCTGCACGATTGTCATCGGCATGCATGAGTTGGTCATCAGCTCGCAAAATCGCTTGATAGTGCCCCGGGTTCGCGGTGCCACCCCTGTGCACCACAAAGGAGCTGAGCTGCATTTCGACATGAGTCAACTCGTCGATACCATCCCCGAACACCGGAAAAATCACCCAGTCATGAATTATGTCATAATGCCACTTATTAACAGCTCAGCCTTGCACATCAAAGCTGAATCTCTCAGCTTGGATAACTACGCTCGCGGAGCAATCAAAGCTGCATGTGCATCGGCTTGCTTGGACCAGTCATCAACCAACCTCTGAACCGTAGCACCCGTCCTACCCGCAAGAACCTCACTCGCAGGACTGACACACAGAGGCAGGGAAAGACCTGCATCCCGAGTCTTAAACCCCCCTTGCTCTAATGTCCGAGCTTCCCACTGGACTCCAAGAGTATCTACCAATCCGGGACAGCTATTGCAAATACATTGCAAGAACTCGGCAACGTCATGCTGAGCATGAAGACTTCTCCAAGTTTTGAAACGAGCTTTCCAGAAAGGGCTCTCCCAGACAGCCACAGGCCTGTGAGCCTGTGTTGGGGGCAAAATACCCCTTTCCCCTATGTGGGCTTCGAGCAGCAAAAGGCACTTCATCAGGGCGTTGGTGTAGGAGTGGTTGCCCTTGCTCACGAAGATCACCTTCACGACTTTCACGACTTGGTCCTCCAATCCCCTTTGCCGCTGTCCTTGCCCTGCTTGCCCTTGCCTTTGCCACCGCCTTTGTTGGGATTCTGGGCCTGAGCAACGCTCTGGGCCAGTGGTCCGTGCAGTAGCCTGGCATGCTGAACGTAGGCTCCTCGAGTGCACAACCTCGTTCAGGTATGCCCACATGTTGGTCTCCTCGGTGCGCAAGCCAACATCCAGCATGAAGCTCATCGTCGGCGACGCGCAGCTCTCCGAGATCTGCCTCGTGCCGTGGAAGCGATTGACCGCTCGAGGGTTCTTGCACAGGACCGTCATCTCCGAGAGGAGCTGCTTGATCTTCTCCGGCTCCAGATCTGTAATGTTGCTTTGGGGTACATCTTTGTATTACTCATTTTTCAGGCTTCTATCTTAAACCTTCAACCCCATTAAGAGACCTGCGAACAGTAGGGTTCTATGATGGGTTTCGGGGTTTGACAATGAGGCTGTGGCTAGCAAATCCTCAAAAAACCTAAACCATAACCCCCGGAGCCCAACCTCGGTGGTGTCCGGGTTCGAAAGTCCCCTCCCACTTTACCACATCCTGGCGCCAAAACTCTACGCCATAAACCCTGAACATCCCCACGGCCCAAACCCGAAACCCTAAACTAGAAAGCCCCAATTCTGAACCCTTATAGTAAAGCCGCGATCCATAACCCTAAAGCCGAAACGCTAAATCCTAAATCCTAAACTCTAAGCCCGAAACCCTATACCCTGAAGCCTAAAGCCTAAACTCGAAACCCTAAACCCTAAACCCTGAAGCCTAACGCCTAAAGCCAAAACCCCAGACCCGAAACCTACACCCCATAATCCCTAGAGCCAGGTGGCCCCTCGCCCCAAAGCAGCCACTGCAGACGAGGCCCACTCGATTTCCAGAATCACAGGGAAAGGTTTAGGATTTAGGATTAAGGGTTTTGATCCAAGAGCAAGGCAAGGGCTGAGGATTGTGGACTTGATAGCTACCCGAAGCTACGAGCTCCACAAGGGTTACCACAAGCCTCACATCACAACCGGACTGTGAGAGGATCGGATCCCATGGTAAGCCCCACCAAGGGTCTACCCTCCAAAGCGGAACTTTGAATCTGCGGCAAGCTGTAAACATACCATTTCAGTAAAACCCAAAAATGCCGACTTGGCCGGGCAAAGAGACTCGACTTCTACTATATCCTCCCAAGCTCTGCTGGGCACGCCACATGCATGTAAGACGACAATGTGAGAGCCTCTCAACCTAAACTGACGGTCTTCTTGATTCTTGCACACCCTACACCCCTCGATACTGCACAAAGGACCTTACTATAGCGTTGAGGGTTAAGGGTGTGGCCACTGGGCTGCACTGATTCCTCTTTAGCCGCCTTTAGGGTCTATGCGGGCGTCACCCTTCACCCCATCACCTCCAGGCCCTACAGACCCACAGAGCCAAAAGCCCTAGAGAACTTGTAGAACACCGTCTAGATTCCAAAACACCAATAAACCTCATGTAAGACACTTCCTTCGCATCTCAGGCATTCTTGAGCCCACGCTCTGCTGAACTTGCCCGGTTTGGCAAGAGGACGCCGATGTGAGATCCGTGAGTCGATCTCTTTTTCAAGGCCCAGGATTCAAAAGGGCTTGCAGATAGTTTTTGTCGGTCGAAGGGTTATGTTGGGTGTGGTATCGAAGTAAGATGCTCAGTGCGAGCCCTATGAATCTTGAGGTCTCTTGCCAGTCTAGGGATGCCTTGAATCGACGGCCTGCATCACAGGGATGAAGCCCTGAACTTCCTATAAAAACCCCAAAGCCTAGCTAAGCCCTGAAGGCGAGGCTGTGGTGTTGGAGTGTGGGCCTTATAGGTCTTGAGATTTCAGGTCAGCTGTCGGCGCGTCGGGCTTCAAGGGCTGAAAGATCCCCCAAAAGATCCCAGAACAAAGCATTTTTGGAGTTTGATAGGTCGGAGGAGGGTTTATCATTCCCAAGCCTCCAAACATGGCACCCAGAAGCTCTCAATCCTCAATCCAGCTGGCCCGCACCACCCGTAGTTGTATAGCTTCTTAGAGCCTGGATGGGAAGTCAATCGCCCATCGGCAACCTGTCAAACTCAGAGAAAGCTCCATGCAAATCAGGAAGAGCCCCCGGAAAGCCGTCACGACCCAGTGTGAAACCTTGTCATGTACTGGAGAGCCACAACGATCCCCTAGCATCCTAAGTTGAAGCCCACTTTGTAGCCTTCTTTGCACTCTCCAACGTGATTTGTTGTTTGCTTAGCTAAGTGTATCGCCAGGATCCTCCGAAAGCAAGAACAACGTCCTAAGCGCCCTAAGCCCTAGACCCTAAGGCAGGGTAGCCCCAAACCCTGAAACTTCTCTTCCTCTGTGAGGATTCATTGGGTGAAGCCGAGCTGCGAGGCGATCTTGAGACTGACATTTTTTATCTGAATGCCTGGAAAAGGATGTCGGGTTTAGGAGTTTAGGCTTTAGGGACTTTAGGGTTCATGGTTTAGGGCGTCGGGCTTAGATTTCCTACCTGGGTACTTGTAGGACTCTCGTATTGGCGCAGTGACTGCCAGTGGCTTTAGGTTTTACTACTACTCTTGGACCAGTCGTATTCAAGAGAGGCACGAGGCTGGACGAGATTTATCATTGCTGCTCGTTTGGTCGTTGGCAAATCATCGAAACGACTATCACAATACACCCTCACATGTTGCTGCGGTTCCTTGAGTACCTAAATCAAGTTTTATGCCTTCGGTTGCTTGTATCTGCTGTGCTCTAGTGCTTTTTTTGTCACACTATCCATTCAAAATGCCGTGAATTTCAGGTGTTTTCGGGCGATTTAAACCCTGAAGCCTAAACCCTCATCCTCCTGCTTCAACCATCACGGGATCTTTGCACACCTTCGCTTGCTCGGAGTTCTGATGCAGTACTGCAGGTTTCCATGCAGGCAGCAAATTTCGGTCGCACCTGTTCATTCGTGGGTCTTAAGTCATCGCAGTTGTAGGTGTAAGGGTTCACAGGCCATGAATGCACACATCAAGTTACACCGACCGACCAAGTCAATTTACCGACGTCATTGGTATCAGGACTGAGGCATCTTTTCAAGATTATTCATGGAGGCCAGCGCCATGCTGCCACAACTGGAGACGCAACTGGGCAATCCCCACTGTCGTCCTGCGGTTCACCTCGGTGTTGAAGACCAGGTGCCGACGGAACACCCTATGGGATTAGAGAAAGGAGAAAGAGACGAGATTGCCAATCTCTGGGTTAATTTCGCGAGTAAGATGCAGGCTTCGCGCCCAGGAATACTGCGTGGTGTGCGGGCCTCACAAGTGCTGCATCACCTGCCGTGGGCGTGGCTACGCCGTGATCTGAATCCTTTACATGCTCTTAGCCAGGAGACATCCAAGTTCGACCAGTTTTGGTCCCACAGCTGGAAGGGGGCAATGTGGGCGAAGTACGTCAATCTACTCTACCTTCAGACATGCCTTGCAGCAAACGTTGCCGGCACGCTAAGTGCCAGTCTCGCCCTTGGCTTCGTCTCAGCAGGGTGGCTGGGAGCAAGACGAGGATTCTGCCTCTAGGTTCCCCCTTTTAGTACCCTTTTGCCCTTTTTCTTTGTGGGTTTCCTTATGAAAACAGCGAAGACTAGGAGCACTGGCAGCCCCTGATTTTTCAGGGGCTACTGGGGAACCAAGGCCTCGTCTTCGGCTTTGTGACCTTTTGCTTCACTCCTTTGCTCTGGCGCTCACGGAGGATTGTTTTTCTAGATATCGTCTGCATTAACCAGGAGGACCAGCTGCTCAAGGCAGAAGCCATCATGAGCATCTGGGATCTGTCTAAGAAGCCTCGGTCATGTTTCATGACGCTCCGAACCAGAATGGGGCATCTAGCAAGTAAGATGCTGTCCTCATTATGGCGCGGAAGTTTAGTGGACAGTATCCCAACCCCCAAACCCCCAAACCCCTAAACCCCTAAACCCCTAAACCCCTAAACCCCCAAACCCCTAAGCCCCTAAACCCCCTAAACCCCCAAACCTGAACCCCTAAACCCCTAAACCCCTAAAGCCTTAAACCCCCGAAGCCTTCAACCCAGGCATGGGGGCCTTTCTCAGGCTTTCCGACTCCATGCTCGCCTCTGGGATCTGGAGTACCCATACTCGCATTTTTTTGTTTTTTGTGTTTTTTTTTTTTTTGGGGGGG